GGCCTATGTAGGCCCCACAAATGTAGGACACCAGCTACAATCCATCATCACTCATCCTTACCATCTTCCCTACTGTAGCACCTTCCAAAACCTTTGCTATCTTCCCTTTAGCTAACCCCTCCTGTATACATTGTTTCTCCCAATTACAATGTGAGTTCCTTGAAAGCGGAGGCCATCATGCCTTTTTATTCATATCTTCAATATTTATCAAAGTCTTTGGCACATAGTAAGCACTCAATAAATGTTACTTAATTCATTTATTCCTGTAATTCTTTGTTTGCTACTTTAAACCCTTGTTTCACAGGATTTCAGGCATTCAGAGTTGGAAAGGACCTCAGAGGCCATCTAAGCCAATCCATACATGAATAAGAATCCCTACTACAACATGTTTGGAAAGTGGTCATCTTGCTTTTGCTTGAAGACTTCCAGTAAGGGGCAATCAAACACCCTTCAAGAAAAGCCCACTCCACTCTGGGATAGCTGTAATTGTGACGAAATCTTCCTTAATGTAAAGTCTAAATCTTCCTCTCTACAACTTCCATTGCTTTGACTAATTTCTTCTAGGGCCCAAAAGAACAAGGCCAATCCATCTTCCACCTTATAGTCCTTCCAGAGTCCAGAAAATAACTTTCCTCTCCCTCCATAGGTCTTTTCTTCCCCCGGCAAAACATCATTACTAATTGAATCATTCTCTATCTTCACAAACCACAAAATACTGAATGAAGAGGAACTTGAAGAATGCATAGTGATGGCCCAAGCCTTGGTGTTTAGGGGAGAGAAAAAGCTGAGACAGAGGAAACAAGAACAAAAGAATGTTTGGGGATATGGGAGAGATAGAGGATTTACATCAACAGAAGAGCTACATGGAACTACATGGCCCTAGATAAAAGAGACAGAGTTTGACCTGAAGAATAAGTTATTATCCTCTTTGGCACTCTTTCAATTTCAGTAATACGACATGTGTTGACCATGAGCTAAGCAACACTCAATCAAAGCCACTCAGATACTGGATGATCCACTCGCTGCACTGGAGAGTAGAGGCTAACCCAAATTCTGAAACTGGAATCAAAGTTGTCCATGAGACTCATTAAAAAGGATCTGAGAAATAGAGGCATATTAACATGTGAGATCACAGGCACAAAGCCAGAGGGAGGTGCTAGGAGATGGCCGGTGTTATTGACCAATAACAATTTATTAGCCTGATCTCTAATTTCTTTTATTTAGGGAGCTACTAGTGAGGTAATTCTTTCCACCAATGCAGATCAGCACCTGTTCTTCAACTTACACTATTAGAGAGTTACCTGGGTCATTCACAGGTTAAATTACTTGCCCAAGGTCCCACAACCACTATATGTCTCAGGTGGGACTGGAACCCAAGTCTTTCTGACTCCAAGTCTGGCTCTTGATCAAGCACACCAGGTAAAAAAAGAACCCTTGCTCTAACGCATGACTTCCACTCTCCATTCTCATATCACAAACTAGAAGAAGGTACTTTTTTCCCTCTAGCCATTTCCCTTAGTGATGCCCAGAGGAAAGGTTCTTCTTTAACAACAAGCACCCAGAAGGGAGAAGTCACTCGCTACTTTCGCTCTCAGTAGAGACTGATTGAAAAGAGGGTATCAGAACCAAAATGCATGCTCTACTGCCATCTTGTCATTTGGCCATGTTTGCTAAATTAGCCATACAAGTTATTTTGATTTTAGTATCTAAACTCAGAGCTTATTTTTTCCGTTCAGGACTTTAGCTTACTACACAGGAGTAGCGGTTATCATAACTTAATTAGAAACATAAAATCATAGAATAATAGAGCTGGAAGGGACCTGAGATAATTTAGTCCAAACTCATCTTACATATGAGGAAACTAAGTCTCAGAGAATAAAAATAATCTGACATGAAAACAGCTCAATAATGAAAAGTATCGCAGGGGCAAAATCATGAGAAAAATTAATCAGACTTTTAAATAGACTTCTTCCCCTTCCCAAAAAGGAGCAAAGTGACTTTAAAATCATATGTCCTTTATAATAAAAAGTGGGATATTCTACAAGTAACTGTAAGTACAGTAGTCTAGTGTTTAATAAACCCAAAGATCCCAGTTATTGAGGCAAGAGGTCACTATTCTACAAAAACTATTGGGAAAATTAGAAAGCAGTCTGATAGAAACTAGGTATAGACAAACTCATGCCATATGTTAAAATAAGCTTCAAATAGGTACATAATTTAGACATCATAAACAAATTGGAGGAGCAAGGGAAAAAGTACTTGTCAGATCTACAGATAGGGAAACAGTTGATGACCAAACAAGAGAGGGAGAAGATCACAGAAGATAAACAATTTTGATTATATAATATTAAAAATTTTTGTACAAACAAAACAAATGCAGCTAAAATTAGAAGAGGAACAGGTAAACAGTAAAAACCATTGCAGCAAGTTTCTCTGATAAAGGGCTCATTTCTAAAATTATAGGGAACTGATTCAAATTTGTAAGAATTAGAGCCATTCCCTAATTAATAAATAGTCAAAGGATATGAACAGTTTTCAGAGGGAGAAATCCAAACTATCCACGGCCATATTAAAAAATGTTCTAAATCTCTAATAATTAGAAAAATGCAAATTAAAACATCTCTGATATTCCAACTTATAGTCATCAGATTGGCAAAGCTGGCAAAAAAAAAAGAAAAATGACAAATATGTGGGGCTGTGGGGAAAAGGGCATTATTTTACTGTTGGTTGAGCTGTAAAGCGGTCCAGACATTCTGGAAAGCAATTTGAAATTACACCTAAAAGAGCTATTAAATTGCTCAAAACTTTTGACCCTAGACCTCCTGATGGGCCTATACACCAAAGGGATAAAGAAGAAAGGGGCTTAAAAAATATTTATAGCAACTCTTTTTGTGGTGGCAAAGAAGTGGAAACTGAAAGGGGCATCCGTCAAGTGGGGAACAACTGAACAAGTTACGGCATATGAATGTGATGGAATACTATTATACCATAAGAAACAATGAAGGGGATGGTTTCAAAGAAACTTCCATCTTGGAGGTTTGGCTCCACCTTTGGTTCTAAAGACCCTCTATCACTCAGGCTTAGAGTCTTCTAGTAACTCCCGCTTACTTCCTTTATGGAGATCCAAAATCCATTTCAGGGATGCTCTGCCAAATAAGCTCCACAGAACTATGCAAGCCTTAAAGTCCCTGTCCTCCCCGCCCCAACACACACACACACACACACACACACGTTCCCTCCCTCAGGGGCCCCAAAATACTTTCAGTTTTGCCAGACTAATGACTCTGAGCCAGTATAAAACCTAAGTCTAGAGGGTAAAGTCATTATCTTTCTTTCACCTGGTTCCATTCCTACCTATCTCCAGAGTTCATGAGTAAATTAAGCATATTACAGAGTAGATTATTTTCCTATGAAACCAGTGGACCCAGTGCTCATTGTACCAGTTCCATGATTTTCACTTCAACTTCATGATCCCAGAAATAAACAATGCTGTAGGATATGGGACAGTCAAGAAAAACATTCAAAGTTCCCAATATTTAGAATGAAACTAAATATGAAAAAAGAAGGTCTCTATTTGCTATACAAGTGGAGCAAAGGGTGAAATAAATTTAAAAAATCCATAATTATGTGATTATGAAAAACCACATAATCATAGATTTAGAACTAGAGGAGCCTCATAGGTCATCTAATCAGACCCCTTAGAGGTGAAATGACTTCTTCAGTGTCTCACAGGTAGCAGCAGCAGAGCCAGGATTCAAACCCAAGTCTTTGACTTTAAACCCAGCACTCTTTCCACAGCATTTCACTATTACCTTCTTTATAGTAATAAATCCTTCAAGAGAAGAGTCCAGGGAATATAAAATAAGATATTTCATCTTAGTAGGGATAGGGAAAAACAATGGCTTCAGGAATATCCAAAGAGCATAATTATCCCCCTTTCCATGGTAGCAGGCAGGCTATTATAGCAATAACAAGTCCATTATCATAGCTCAGCAGTTATAATTCTGGTCAATCTCAGAGTTCTGACAGCTTAGACTAAAGGCTCATCCTGCCTTCTGCTCTGTCACTCCAAGGTTACCCCTAGATAATGGGACTCTAATCCTAGGATTTAATGATTAGCAATGGAAAAGCTCTTCTGCCAAAGGCATCCCTAAGGCAATGACCATCAAAGATAGACTTGCAGCCAGTCATAGTCAAGAATCTCATTTCATTTTGGTCTTTTGATCTTGGGTTTACTGCTCTTACAAGTTACATTTAGAAGCAGACTTTCTCTTTTATAAACCCCTAGTGAGTTTTCACCCATTTCTCTCTGTGTGTGACAAACTCTGACAATTTTTGCCAGACATTCTGGGATAGGGGTGAGAGGCAGACCCCTGACAAGGCAAAAACACCCTAGGTGAGAAATCTGAAATTTAAAAACTGGACCTTGACTCATTGCAAAGTAAATATTTATGTGCCATAAATAGGATTATCTGGCCTTAAAAAATACACATTTCTATTAAAAAAAAAAAACAAAGCAGGCCTCATTGCATCTCCTTGCATTTATAGATTTGAAGCTATAAAGGATCCATTCCATAATCGTATAGAGGAGCAAGTTGACACCTAGAAAAGTGAAATGATTTGCTCCAGGGATGAAGATAACTAATGGTTCAACATATTAATTTTTAAGTAGCAAGGCCAGGATTTGGACTCAGGTTTTCTTACCTCAAATCCAGCATTTTTTCACTCCCTCATGCTGCAGTACCCTAGGCAGCTGCATAGTGTCAGTCCCCAGTTATGGTGAAAGGTCTATCTCCCTCTCATTCCTTCCCTCCCTTTCTTTAACCTAATTTTAACTTTTATAAGGTACCTCATGATCACACCCTCAAGGCTTGTTCTCCCAGACTCTTTATAATATGACTTCACTAACCTTTCCAAAGTGATGGAGAATTGTGCTAAGCTTCCGTTACACACATACACACACACACACACACACATACCCCTTGACTAAGACTACTGACCTTTCTCGTTCTCCTTTGCAAGACATCATCATTGTCCTACTCTCTCTTAGTGAATCTGCCTTGGACTCTCTTTGTCTTGACTCTCTTGATAATTTCAACTTTTCTTTATGCTATCTCCACAATATCAATAATTTCCTGTCATGGGATTCGTTTGGGAATGGTGCTCTGCCACGTTAGGGTTCCTCCCTGTGGGGAGTTAAGGGTCACAGTCTGTTGCGTGAAAGCAAGGAAGTCTTAACTGACCTCTCCTTTGTGGACACGCAGCAATCGTGACTGGCTCGGCCCTCCTCTGACTGGATGAGTGCCTCCCTTCATGCCCCGGACACACCCCGGACCTGAGGCTTTCAAGCGGAGTGGGATAGCTAGGACTGGCTGTAGGGCTCTGATCACAAGATCCCAAGGTGCCTTGAGGGCTATAAAGGTCACACCCAGCTTACAATAAACAGGAGCTTCTGCCATCTTGCTGTCTCCCGCCTCATCCATGTGTCTCCGGGTTACTGAGTATTGAGCTGGTCTCATGCTCACCACTGCAGCAGCCGCAACAACTGGCGTCCATCGTGGGGCAGATCAATGACAGGCCTGACAGATACCCCACGGGCGGAGTCTAAACTCCATGAATAGTGCATCGGCAAGCTTTCAGCTTTCAGCCCGATGGAATCCAGTCTCCCAGACGTTTCCTGTCCTTGGGGGCGGAGAAGGTAAAGGTTTCGCTTTACACAATGGGGCAAAATATAGGGCTTCTCCTTCCCACAGATGAGGAGAATTATGCCAGAGCTTTATATAAGGTAGCAAAGAATGAGGGAATAATGATACACCTAAAAGATCTTAGAAAATTTGTGAGGTTGGTTTTTCAGGTATCCCCCTGGCTCCCAGAACAGGGTTGCTTTGAGCCAGGGAGATGGAAGGTGTTTGGGGAGCAGCTGACCTCGTATGATGGTACTTGCCCTGGGAAAGTTAGGCTTTTAGACTATACCATCTACAATCTTGTAAAACAGGTTCTGATGAATCAAAAGCAAAGAGAAGTCCAGTGCTTTCCAGTCTGTACTCAGACAGGTTCCTCCCTCCCCTCCCTTTCTGTGAGCAGACTCTGCTCTCCTAAACCAAGAGAGGATCTCCCAGACCTCCCTCTCTGGTCACCCCCAGGACACTATTCAAACTTGTATCCAAACTTGGGGGAGCTGGAGGACACTTTAAGAAACTTGGTAGTGACCCCTCCCGAGAAACAGGGATTGTGGGAACAGGATAGTAAGGAATTTCCACCCACGAGAGCAGATATTCCTGCACAGGATGTTAGAGGAAAAAAAGAATTTCTTGCTGCTCCACAGACTTTGGGAAGTGGGTGTGGCCACCTTGGCGTGCACCCAACAACGTCCAGAGGTGAAGAATCACCATTACAAAAGGGCGTTAGAGAAGCAAAAGAAAAGGGTGTGGATGTTAGTGAATGGGATATTGGCCTCTATCCGGTCTTTGGAGAACCTGATCCCTTTAATCCAGGGCAGGTACGGAGGAGGCATGAAAGTATTCCTTTTAAAACCTTGCTGCAATTAAAACAAGCAGTTGTCCAATATGGACCTACTTCACCTTTTGTAATGTATCAATTAGAGGTTATATCTAAATCTATTTTGTGTCCAAATGATTGGAAAGCAACAGCCCGTGCAGTTCTGATTCCCAGAGCTGCTGTCTTTTGGATGGCTGAATTTGTAGATCAGTGCCGTATGGTTTCATACCAATTGGCACCTGGACCCCAAGGAAAAGCCCTCTTTGAACAGATGAGTGGCACAGGGGATTTTGCTACCACTGCCCAACAGCTAGGATATGCTGAGGAGGGCTATCATAGAATTGCAGTACAAGCTAGAAAAGCTTGGTCTAGGATGCCAGAAAAGGGGCAGGCAAAGGAGTTTATGACTGCTGCCCGGCAGAAACCTACTGAGACTTTTGTTGACTTTGTGGCTAGAATTCAGGAACTAGTTGCACGAACAATGGGAGAAGTAGAAGGGACTGAAATAGTCATAAAATCACTACTTAGAGAAAACTGCAATGAAGACTGTAAGAAAGCCATGCTAGGTTTGCCTAGGGACGCTACCTTACAGGAAATGATAAGGAGATGTGAAAAGGTAGGGACTCAGTGTTTTCACTTTGAGTTGATGAATCAATTTTTAGCAGAGCATAAGTCAGGGGAAAAAAACAGGGAAAACATGCTATCAATGTGGGAGAGAAGGGCACTTTAAGAAAGACTGCAAGTCAAACAAAAGGCGCCCTGCCACACCCTGTCCAAAATGCAAGAAACCAGGGCACTGGGCCTCTGAATGCAGGTTGGGAAACGGGCGCAGGGGCTCTGCGGGAGCCCCGAACACTCATCCCATGGGAATGACAGTACAGGAATCAAACCCTCTCCCAAAGGAATGGGGAAAGAAATACATGACTCTAGCTGCCCAAGAAAAACAATTCGAGTATTGAAACTGAGAAGCTTAGATAATTTTAGACTGCCACCCCATGCTGTCTGTAACGTCCCACTCATGGACCAACAGGAATTGGGGCCAGAATTTTCCTTAGGTACCATGTCACCCCCATATCAGCACTACTCACATACAGTCCCAGTTATTCAAATGTATAAGGGCTCCCTCTCTCACCTCACCATGATTAACACTAACAATGATGATACCTATATTGAAAGGGGACAGTGCGTGGCTCAAGCCATCGCCATCACTGCAGAATTCCACATAGAAGACCCTACCATAATAAAAGGCCCACAGACAGTCTGGGGGTCAGGAGCATTTTTTACACAAGCCGTCTCTATGGACTGTCCCCTATGTACTATAAGTGTAGAGAAACAAAAATTTACAGGGTTAATTGATACTGGGGCTGATAAATCAGTATTCCCTGCAGACCAGTGGCCACCTTGGTGGCCTAAGGAATTGGCTTATACCTTTCTACGAGGTATAGGAGGTAATCAAGAAACAGAAATCTCTACACGTCCCCTCACATGGGAAAAAGACAATAAAAGTGGCATGTTCCATCCATATATCACAGCAGGATTACCTCTTATTTTATGGGGACATGATGTTCTTACAGACATGGGTGTTACAATCAGCACAGATTTTTCATAGGGGCCACTGATGTTTCATTAACAGCACATAAATTAGTTTGGCTTACAAAAGAACCAGTGTGTGTTGATCAGTGGCCCCTGACACAAGAGAAACTCACCGCCTTACATTCTTTAGTACAAGAGCAATTACAGCAGGGACACATAGAGGAAAGCTCTAGTCCATGGAATTCTGTATTTGTCATTAAGAAAAAATCAGGAAAATGGAGAATTTTAATAGATTTAAGGGAAGTAAATAAAAGAATGGAAAACATGGGCCCTTTGCAAACAGGACTACCCTCACCTAATATGATTCCTAGACATCAACCCTTGTGGATCCTTGATATTCAGGATTGTTTTTACCCCATACCCTTGCACCCTGATGACTGCAAGTATTTTGCATTTTCTAAACCTACACCAAATCACTGTGCTCCTGCTCGGAGATATCAATGGAAAGTTTTACCACAAGGAATGAAAAATAGTCCTACTATTTGCCAAAGATATAGAGCAGACCTACTAGAGCCTTTAAGAATCAAATATAAAGGAGCCTATTTAGTGCACTATATGGATGATATTCTTTGTAGTCATGCCAATTTAGAAGTCCTTGAGCAGATACTCCAAGAAACAGTATCTATTTCTGACAAACAAAGGGCTTCAGATAGCACCAGAGAAAGTGCAAAAACAACCTCCCTTTCAATATCTGGGATTTCAGCTTGATTTGGAGGAAGTCTCTTTACAACCTCCTGAGCTTAGACAAGACAAGGTACAAACTTTAAATGATTTCCAAAGATTGATAGGAGATATTCAATGGATGCAACCAAAGATAGGCATTACTAATGAGGAGATGCAACCCTTATATTCTATCTTGAAAGGGGATCCCTGCTTAAATTCTCCTAGAAAATGGACCCCTGAGGCTGAACAAAGCTTAAAACAAATCATTAGGAAATTAGGAAACCACACCCATCGAATGTCTCCACAGGAGATTGAAGCCACATTGATAATGGCTCAACAACATCCACACATTATAAAAGAAGAAAAAATTACAGAATGGTTATACAGCAAAACCAGTAATAAAAGAGTTTTAACTTGTTATCTAGAAGAAGCCTCTATGTTGGCTAAAAAGGCACTTCTCCGCATTTTACATCTTAGTGGACAGCAAGGCACTTTGTGGGTCCCTGTTACAAAAGAAAGACTTGAGACCCTTTTATATTGTGATGACAATTGGACTGTGTTATTGAATCTAGGTAATATTCAAGCAGGACAAAAATACTCCTTTGCTAAATGGTTTAATAACTGGCAATGGATATTCCCCAAGATTGTCAGGGATACACCTGTTGATGGCTATAATGTCTATACTGATGCTACTAAAGAAAAGAAAGCTGCTATATATTGTTCTGACTTAGACATTCACACAGTTCTACAGACTCCACACACTTCCACTCAAAAGAATGAGCTATATGCTCTTCTACATGCTTGCAAAATACCTCAACCTATTAACATTATTACAGACAGTCATTATGCTGCTGGTGTGCTCTCTCACATCAAAACAGCATATATTAAACCTGAAACTTCACCAATAACAGAGTTGTTTTATGACCTTCAATCATGCATTAGATCAAGACAACATCCTCTGTGTGTAATGTATTTAAGATCCCATACAGATGGTTTAGGTCCCATATTTTCAGGGAATAATATTGTGGATTCTATGCTTATAGGCAATTGTCAAGAAGCACAAGAAGGACATAGTAAGTATCATATGTCAGCCAGGTCTCTACATCACCTTTATGGCATAACCAGAGAACAAGCCAGAGATGTAGTGAAAAGGTGCACTCAATGTGTCCCTTTCAATTCACCATCACTTTACTCTGGTATCAATCCTAGAGGCCTTTTTCCTAATTCTCTATGGCAAATGGATGTTACCCATATTCCACCATTGGGGAAACATAAATTCCTCCATGTTACTGTGGATACATTTTCTGGATTTTGTATAGCTACTCCTCAAACAGGAGAAGGTGTTAGACATGTTATTAATCACCTTTATCATGCTTT